AGGGCTGAAGAAACCAGTAGACTTGGTAGGTAAAGTGTCAGGTACCAGAAAGGCAGAGCCTAATGGGTCCCCTGAATCAGCAAGAAAGAGCTCAGCAGGAAATGAAGGTCCAGAAGCAGCTCTGATGGAGTGTGGGTAGAGTTAAGCCACCTGGTGGACATCCTGCTGTTCCATCCCTACCTGCCCTTCATGGCTTCCTCCATCGTCATGGTCAATGTCCTCTAGAGTACCTGGGCAGACATCCACAGTTTGAACTTTCTCCTGATCTTAATACCAGCCAGATATAGGCCACTGTCCTAACCCTAGCCACTTATCCCCAGGGACTTCAATGTCCCTTTTTGTATTCCAAAAACTGCAACCCAGAACTACTAACCAGGTTCAGAACAGCCCTGGACAATTTTCTGTCTTCTCACATGACAAGCAAGGTACTTTGTTCCACTCACTTTTTGTGTTCCTGAGCTACATCTAACTTCTAACTCTTCATTGATGAAAGTCCAGATCAGCGGAGTCTTTCCTTGACTGATCACCCCAATAAGCAATTTCCAGGAAGCAATGGCTCCTTAATATACTTGCTATAATTCCATGAAATTATCTGGGATGGAGAGAATTCTCCTTAAAAGCTTTGATACATCACTCTAAACAGGTGTGATCTGATTTGTTTTTAAGTGTTTCAAGCACTGTCAGAATTCTTTTTTAAATGTCAAGTCTCATTTGCAAGATATTATTTAATTTGCAATAAAATGTTTACAAATGCAAAAATATTCCTTTCATCAACCATTTGTTTTTTACTTTATCTCTCTCATTCCTGAAATCATTCTTTGAAATAAATAATAAACAGTGTCATGTTTTTATTCTGACAAGTTCCTCTGATTTTACAACATCAAACACAGTGGACCAGGGCTGAGGACTGAGCAGTGGCAGAGCACTTGCCTAGCATGTGTGAGGCACTGGGTTGGATTCTTAGCACCACATAAAAATGAAACAAATAAAATAAAAGGATGCTGTTCATCTAGAAATACAAAAAATAAAAATAAAAAACACAGTGGACCTTCTGAATATGTATGCTTAAAAAGAACCAAGAAGGATCCCAACCGAAGAGTTCAGGTTCAGCTATTCAGCCACATGATGAAAGTAAGACTATAGATTTATGTCAAGGCCATGGAATCAGGTCCATGTTATAGTAACACAATAATATGCTTATATGATTTCTGTAAAACAAAAAAAATCTATAGATAGATACATAGATGCATAGATACATAGATGATATATAAGCAAAGAAATATGTACAGATAACTAGACACCAGAACATTAGTAAACTTTGTCCTGGACAATGGGTTAGCAGGAAGTGCTATTTTCATTTATATCCTTGTCTGTGTTCTATGAATTGTTTTCAATGAACATGTTTTACTTTTATTATCAGAAGACTAAAAAGACAATTTTTAAAATTATTTTTAGTTGTAATTGAACACATGCCTTTATTTTATTTATTTATGTGGTGCTGAGGATCAAACCCAGTGCTTCACACATGTGAGGCGTTGCTCTACCACTGAGCTACAACTCCAGTCCCTCTAAAGACAATTTTTGAAGATGTGCTTTCTATTAATGGTACTTTACACCTACCTTTATCAGCAGATAACATCCTAAGGAGGATTATAACAGCCAACTTTGAGCCAGCCCTGAGGAAAGACAGAGATTGAAAGGGAAAGGGACAGAATACCAAAGACAAATTTCTGAGTTATATTTCAAGCAGGTGAAAACAGTTCAAGGATTTATTTATATTTCTGCCTCCCCTCGGAGACTGTGTTTTCCTGAAGGACAGGAGCAATGTCTCATCCATATTTATGGTTTAGGACATAGCACCATGCCTGACGCATCCCAGGTGCATCATACAGATCTGTTGAATGAGTGCATGTGTGATGAATGACAGCTAACTATAAATCTACATTTTACTATCTCTGGCTGTGATCTCTTCATTCCTTCCTGGTTTTTACTTTATTTTTTATACCTAATGTGGAAAATTAGCAATCCATCTTCGTGTGTCTAACTTAACTGAGTTCTTAGAGATATTAATTATATCTTGGCAAAGACATTTCTATTATCAGAGTCCTTATATTTCCTTCCCCTTGGAACATATTTCTCACTCAGAATTCAGAAACTCATCTTTGGTTTTTGCCAATAACTTCAAATAAAGAGCGGCTACCAAGTTTTTGAGGAATTTCTTATTTTTTCTTCTTCTTCTTCTTCTTAATCTTCTTCTTTGTTTTTAAAGTTTTTATTCTAATTTGTTATATGTGACAGCAGAATGCATTACAATTGGTATTACACATATGGAGCACAATAGTTCATATCTCTGATTGTATACAAAGTGTATTCACACCATTCATGTCTCCATAAATATACTTAGGGTAATAATGTCCATCTCATTCCACCATCTTTTTTACCCACTCAGCTGCTTAGAGCCTCGCTAAGTTGCTAAACTTGGCTTTGAATTTGCAGTCCTCCTACCTCAGTCTCATGAGCCACTGGGATTACGGGAATATGCCCATATCCAGCAATTTTTCTTCATCTTGCAATTTTTCTTCATATGTATATGACTTCCGGTTTTCTGTGTCAAGACTATCTTTCAACAATGCCGTTTGCAAGAGAACATCCTGTGGGTAAGCGTAGGTTGAAGTGAGCCTTGTGGTCTAAAACATGATCTGACAATGAAGCAAAATATTTTGAGCTGTCATTATCCTAGAAGTGTTAGTAGGAATGTTAGGAGTGTTTTACAATTTGGGAGGGGGTACTTCTGGGTTTTGATGTCTCTCTTATTTAAACACACACACACACACACACACACACACACACAATAGCCCTTGTAAAAATAAATAATTAAATAAATAATTTTATTTCCTTTTACTCCCTTATTAACCTCTGTTAAGACTATATATTAAAAAAAAAAAGACTATATATTGCGGATTTATGAACTCTGTAAAAATCAGACAATTGCTCCTGGACATAACCTTCTCATGTGCTTGAGCATGTTTCTACCTTCTTGATTGTCATTTCTACTAACTCCCACTCCCTCCTTCATCACTAGTGTCTAGAGGTGCCCTCACAATCTTTTCACATCTCATTGTTTCTTTTCATATTATTTAAATTAGTATGAAAAAACTTTCTCCATGAAAAATTTATCCCTACTTATTCTTTGGCATTCCATATTTCTATCCATTCTTACTGTATGTTTTTGTTTCATCATTGTCCAAATTTCTTCCACCTTCTGGAAATACAAAACATCTACAGGCAGACAGTACATGCTTCACACTATCCCCCTCTTTTCTCATCCCTCTGCTTCTTTTTCTGAAAACCAGGCTCATCTGTCAGCTCTTCACCACTATTTTTCTCTCCTGCCTCCATTAATCTTCCTGTACTTCTTATTACAACTCTTTTCACTATTATTTCTCCTTAATCTTTTGATTAACTCTTATGAAAACCTCCCATCCATATCTGACATTTAAGAAAATGAGTCTATCTTATCACTCTTAAGAATTCAGAATGGACATCTTTATGATGATTTTTCCACATTTGTAGCACAAATGTAGAAATCTATACAAAATAAGTAGCCATTGCTGGGTATGGTGGTGCATGCCTGTAATCCCAGCAACTTGGGAGGCTGAGGCAGGAGGATCATGAGTTCAAAGCCAGCTTCAGCAAAAGCGAGGCACTAAGCAACTTAGTGAGACCCTGTCTTTAAATAAAATACAAAATAGGGCTGGGGATGTGGCTCAGTGGTCAATTGCTCCTGAGTTCAATCCCTGGTCCCCCACCAAAAAAAAGTAGCCCACAAAATACACCTTGAGTCTCCATCTGCTCAAGCTTCAACACCTCAGCCACTGCCACTTTCAAGCTACACTTGATTGGGCCAGAGAGGCCCCAGGAGATTGGCAGTTTTTATCATCATGAAAACTTCCAAGTTTTTTCCCCACTTGGTATTAGTGATTATACAAATTGAAAAGATATGAGTGAGTATACTAAAAAGAAGACTTTACACCTTTCTCATTATTCATTTTCCTCTGGAATAAGCAAATACAGCCAATGGAATTTTCCCTGATCATTGCTATAGTATCTATTCTATGAAAAAGCCAGACTTAAAATATTTCGACAACAAAGATGATGATTCTGATACTGAGACATCAAATGAGTTACCAAAATTTGCAGACGTAACCAGGCCAGAAACAGAAATCAGAACTACTAGTTCCCAATATAATTCTGGACCATACTTATTTTTCTACCGATTGGGGAAATAAATTAATTGCACTGGCATATTATGCATAGATTGATGGAAAAACAGTGCATCACTTAAACTTCTTTTTGCATAGTTGTACCTATCTAATAGGTCTTATTTAGTAATAGTAATATATTAATAGGCTTATTTCATTTTTTCAGAAAAATCTGCTGATGTGGAAATTTGTGATGAAGAATGTGACTCACATGAATCAATCAACCAGAAGAACAAGAGGAGAGTCCTATAGAAGTTCACGCTGATGAAGATGTCCCCATTACTGTGGAAGTTCATGCAATTTCTGAGGATTATGACATACAGACAGAAAACAATTCCTCTGAGAGTCTCCAAGAACAAACTGATGAAGAACCACCAGCTAAAGTTTGTAAAATTCTTGACAAGAGCCAAGCTTTGAATGTGACTATCCAGCAGAAATGGCCTTTATTGCAAGCTAATAGCAGTTGCCCCTATAAATGTGAACTTTTTAAATTTATAGTAAGTACTTTTCTGATTTAAAACAGCATATGATTCTGAAGCATAAAAGTACCGATTCAAATTGTGTTGAGTATGCAAGAAAAGCTTCTCTACCAACATGTTTCTGCTCAAACATGCCAACTACATGAAGAGGATCCCTACATTTATAAATACTGCGATTTACAGGACAGTAATTTTTGAGAACCTCAGCCAGCACATTGCAGACACCCACTTTAGCGATCACCTGTATTGGTGTGAGCAGTGTGACATGCAGTTCTCCTCGAGCAGTGAGATCTACCTGCATTTCCAGGAGCACAGCTGTGAAGAACAGTATTTGTGTCAGTTCTGTGAACATGAAATGAATGATGCAGAAGACTTGTATAGCCATATGATAAGTGATCATGCATGTAAATTAATAGAACTAAGTGATAAGTATAACAGCGGAGAACATGGACAATACAGCCTCTTAAGCAAAATTACCTTTGACAAATGTAAGAACTTCCTAGTATGTTAAGTATGTGGATTTTGGAGTAGATTTCATACAAATGTTAACAGACATGTTGCTGTTGAACACACTAAAATATTTCCTCATGTGTGTAATGACTGTGGGAAGGGCTTTTCAAGTATGCTGGAATATTGCAAGCATTTAAATTCACATTTATTTGAAGGAATTTATTTGTTTCAATATTGTGGATATTCAACTTCATCTAGAGAGTCTCCTGCTAAAACAAAAGTCATGAGGTTGAGGAACTTCAAGTTCCCTCATGACCATTCCCTCCTGCCCTCCCCATCACATGACCTTTTGAAAATAAGTCAGTAACTCCTTTTGGAATATGCATTGAAAGCACAGGTAAGCAAGATGGACAGAAATCCTTTGGTGTAATTCAGGAAAGCCTAAAAAAGCCAGTGGTTTAATTTAGTCCAAGTCCAAAGGCCTGAGACGGAAGGAGCTACAGTGCCAATCATAATCCTGAAACACACAATTCTAGACTTCATAGTCCTAAATGTTGAAATTCCTGAAGTTTAAGATTCTGAAAATAAAAATCCCAAAGATTAAAATTCCAAATGTTGAAATTCTGAAAATCAACATTCCCAAAACTACATTCCCTGCTCCACAAAAAAAAGTACATTAGAATCTATCCAGCATCATGGGAGGCTGAGGCAGGAGGACTGTGAATTCAAGGCCAGCCTCAGCAACATAGCATGTCCCTGTCTCAAAATAAAAAAATAAAAACAAAACAAAGGGCTGGGGATGTGGCTCAGTAATTAAGTGCCCTGGGTTCAACCACTGGTAACAACAACAAAAAAAAAAAAAAAAAAAAAGAAAAAAGAAAAGAAAAGAAAAGAAAGAAAGAAAGAAAACCAAATTCTGGAGAAGGAGTTAATGTGTTTTCAGTTCACAGGATAGTTGTATCGTGTTAAGTGAAACAAACACTTAACAGTGAGAGATAAAAGTTTAAATGGTAAATATTTTTGGTACTGGGAAAAAGAAAATAACTAAATTGCAGTAGAGGAGCAATAACCAGACTTCCAAATAGGCAACATACATTTAGAAAATGTATAGACCACAGCCACTCTCCAAATACAAAGGCAGCAAGTGTTTTGAAGATGATAGGAAAAATGAAAATACTGGAAAAAAATTTTTAAGTCTCTTCTGCTGAATTATTTAGTCACGTATTACTTATGACCCTTAAAACATAGTACCATGCTTACCTTTAAAACAAATGTCCTGTGTCAGAGAATAAAAGAATTTGACAAGCTTAGTGACCCTCTGAATCAAGAAATTGTACAGCTTTAAATATATAAGGAAAGAAGAAAGCATGCATAAAATACTACATACTGCAAAAGCAATGTACAACAGAAAACAGATTCATATTTTTCTGGGGGACAGAGTGGGTGGGAAAAGACAGGAGGGACGAATTACAAAGGGACAAAGAGAACATTTTGGATGATGGATATAATATGTTCACCATGTTGACGATGCTGATGGTTTCATAGGTATACACATATGTCCAAACTTATCAAATTGAAATTTTTAGTTTATTTTATGCCAATTATACCTCAATAAAGCTGCTTTTATTAGCCAGATATGATGGCACACACCTGTAATCCCAGGGATTCTGGAGGATGAAGCAGGAGGAATGCAAGTTCAAGGTTAACTTAAGCAATTTAGCAAGACGCTGTCTCAAAATGAAAAAGAACTGGGATGGAGCTCAGTAGGGAGTTACCCCTGGGTTTAATTCTTAGTACCATAAAGAGAAGCTGCTTTTAAAATGTGCCCATGATTTTAAAAACTTTAACAATGTATGAGTTTTACATAAAGTGAACTTGAAAGTCCTCTGTATTCCCCGCCTAGACTTACTAATGCCTTTAAAGTCTTTTTTTTATTTGTTCTTTTTTTTAATATTTAGTTTTTGGTTGTAGTTGGACACAATACCTTTGTTTTATTTATTTACATATGGTGCTGAGGATCAAACCCGGTGCCTCACATGTGCTAGGCAAGTGCTCTACCGCTGAGCCACAACCCAGCTCTTTATTTGTTCTTTTTAGTTATATAGGATGGTCGAAACCATTTTGATATATTTTTACAAGCTTGGAATATAACCTTTAAAGTTTTTTGTCAGGGCCTTCCAACCATACCCATGTCCCTTTCCTTCAAGTAGGTAATAGCTATTCTGAATTTTGTATTTATTATCCCCTTTTTATTTTAGTATTTATTATCCCCTTTTAATTTTTCACTGTATACTTGTGCATGTTTAAACAATACATGGCTAAAATGTGTATCTGTTTAGAATACACAACATATTTTACATAGTATACTATATCTATGTTGCAACTCATATTTTATAATTCAACATTGTACTTTTCAGAGTTAATTGGGTTGATAAGTAAAGTGAAGTTCATTCCATACCATTGCTACATATGATTGCAATACTATTGTAACTAATCATATGTAGCTACTGAGCATTTGAAATGTGGCTATTGGGATTGAGGAACTGAATTTTTAATTTTAATTAATTTAATTTTTCATTGCCACATCTGACTAATAGCCATTATAGGGAATAATGGAGTAGTGCCTGTCGCGTGTCCAGCAACTTAAACACTCAGACCTGCCCACCCAGGGACACCATCTGCTGCATTGCACGCAACTAAAACACTCAGGGGTCACTCCAGGGGAACTAGGTTGTGCGAAATAACCACATAAGAGACAGAAATACCTTTTTCTTTGGGGGACCTGTGACAGCTCCTCTGACCTTAAGAGTCTGAGAGAGAGAGAGAGAGAGACAGAGAGAGAGAGAGAGAGAGAGAGAGCACATGTGCTGACCCCTTTTATAGAGGAGAAGCCATTCAGATGAGGCAAGGGGTCAAGTTTCTAGGGGCTGAGTCTAGCTTCATGATGTCTGCTGTCAGCAGGTTGACTGACATCTAGGAAAGCAATACCCAAAGGCAGAATAAGAGAAGGGGACACACAAAGGGTGTTTCCATGGAACATTCTATCCTAAACAGGGCAAGGAGTAACATCACAAAGGAACAGGTGAACGTAGCTTGATCCCTGGGAAAGTAGGAAGGCATGCCCATGCATGAAGACATATTTGCGTTTTCTCTACCCTCAAGATTGGGGCTACCGTCTTTGGTCACTTAAGCAACAAGATCACGGGGTGACCAACAGTGCCACACCAATCAGGAAGGGAAGCAAACGCTGGTCACATGCTATGTTGGCCTCCCACAGTGCCAGAGTCTCTGCCCAACGGTAACATTGCTGGATCAGGCAATAGGTACATCTTCCATTTTAGGAGATCACTACAAATTTTTTTAAAGTGTCTTGTTAGACCAGGATGCAAGAAAAGACCACTGACTCCAATTAAAATCAAATTAAAGCAAGCTTATTATTTCCACTGGCCGGGCTGCCTCTCCCTCCCAAAATGGTGGGAACAAGACAGCACCCCAGCTTTCCTGCAGCCCAGCTTTATAGCCCAGAAAGTTACACAAAGGGGGTTACAGATAACAGAACTCTGACAAGCATCACACTAATGGTAGTTTACATTTTTTTTGCTGCCCCAACATCAGAATTTATGAGGACCATTAGAGCCTCAGAGAGGGTCGTTGTCTGGCCAGGGAAGGCCAATATTTATGAGGTGTCACTAAGTTTCAGAGAGGGCTGCTATCTGGTCAGAGAGCCAGGCTGGATGAGTTTCAAGGCACGGGCAGGCATTCCAAGTAGGTTCAGAATTTGCAGTAATTTATAGTAAAGCCGAAATTATCTTTTCATGGTTTTGTGGCGAGATGCCCAATTTTAAGAAAAGATCAGGTTGGGTCTATCAGTTTTACTCCCATCCTCAATGTGTAAGAGTTCCTGGGGCTCTACAATCCCACCAAAACTTCTTTTATAGGACTTAAGTTTTGCCATCTTTTGGGTTTAAAATGGTATCTTATTATGGCTTTAAGTTACTTAATTTGCTTTCCCATAATTATAGATGAGTCTGTTGGTTTTTTTGGCTATTTGTATTTCCTCTCCTATAAAATACAAATTCATAACTTTTGTCCGTTTTTTAATATATTGTTTCTCTTTTTATTGATTTACAGGCAGAATTTGCATATTTTCTATTTTTTTTAATCAATTCCATGTGTTTTAGAAATGTTTTCTCGGTTTGTAACTTGACTTTTCACATTTAGTGTCCCTTAATAAAAATGTTTTTTAAATTTTTAATCTTTTTCTTTTCAGTTCTGATTTCTATGTTTGAGGAAAATCTTACTTATCAAATGTTCAAAGCTTCTTAAATGCGGAGAAACTGCATCACTCATACATTGCTGGTGGGAATGTAAAGTGGCCCAGCCTGTCTGGAAGAGTTACAGTTTCATAACAAGCTGAACATATACAATACAGCAATTGCCCTCTGGGCATTTATTCCAGAGGACTTGTGTTTGCCCAAAACCTGTTCACAGTGTTTGTAGCTGCTTTCTACCCAATAGCTATTATGGTTTAGTTTTGAGGAATCCATCAAAAGCTCCTGTGTGAGTCAATCCAAGAATTTTGCCCAAAACCTGTTCACAGTGTTTGTAGTTGCTTTCTACACAATAGCTGTTATGGTTTAGTTTTGAGGAATCCACCAAAAGCTCCTGTGTGAGTCAATCCAAGAATTTTTAGAGGTGAAAGGATTAGATCCTCCACTGATTGGAATTAACAGTATGTTGGCGGACAGGGTGTGGCTGAGGAGGTGGGTCACCAGGAACACGCCTTTGGGGTTTTTCTTTTGTGTTTGATGATTCTCTCCCTCCCTCCTTCCCCCCACTCCCCTCTGTGTCTGCCCCTCCTGGTGGTCTTGTTCTGAGTTGCTTTCCTCTACCACATCCCTCTGCCATAATGTTCTGTTCACTTCCCAACCATGGACTGAAACTTTGAAACTGTAAGCCAAAATAAACTTTTCCTTCTCTTTAAGTTGTTCTTGTCAGGTATTTTGGTCACAGCAATGAAACACTGACTCAAACAATAGCTAACCTATGAAC